TTCTCAAAAACGATTTTCGGCGATACAAAAGATAAATTCCTTGATGAAATGGTTGGATCCGAGGAGCATTTACTCAATTATTTGTTTGTTTAAAAACTGCATTTCCATGACTACTTTTTGTGCTTCAAAGGTCTAGTTCTCGGATTAACGTAGACAACCTCTTTACGATTCCTGAACCTCTACATACACAATTCCTAAGTAATTTTTGATGTTCATTTATATGCTGATTTACTTTCCTTTTCTTTTTCTTTTCTATTCCGGATCTGAACTTCAAGTCCGGTTTTATCTCTTGTGCATGTAGAAGTCTAATGCTTAAAATATACTAATTAATAACTAGTTTTGTGTTATATTTCTATATATGAATGATTCTATAATTGTTTATGGTTGATGGTTTTTTGTTGAGCAGTACAATTTTCTGTTTTGATACTTTTGAACCGATGATAAAAAAAATACAAGACTAGTTATTGGCAACAATAACAAAAAATCGGATCGGATCCGGATATTTGGATATCCGATCCGAATTTTCGGATCGGATACAGATCATTACTTTAGGTATTCGAAATTTTCGGATATCCTAAAATTTGGATCGGATAATATCCGATAATGCACACTTCTATCCGCCACTGGTATGTAAGGGTATGAGCGTTCATTGTCAAATAGTTTAAAGTCTTTGTACACATATTACATTGTATTCACCCTAAATTAAAAAAAAAACTCAAAACTCAAAAGACAACTTTTAATTTGTCTAATATTTAAACTCATAATGACTTAAATTGTAATTAGACCAAAAATTTGATAACACATACTTATAATTCTTTAGTTATACTCCTACTTGATTAAATATTTAATAATTTTTTATATTTTTAAATTTAAATATTTATTTTTACATGAACCAATTTTTTATTAAATCAAAATTATATCGAATATATAATTTTTAACAAAGCCGAAGCCCCTTGGAACCCTAAGGGAGCTTTGTCCCCGCCACCTTAGAAGACCTCTTGGAGGTATACGGATTTTAGTATTCAGGTCGAGAATTACGGTATTCATGGTTTTGTTGTAATACAAAACTTGATGAAGAGATTAAATTGAAATCGTCGTATGTTAATGCAGTACCATGCTTCCACTGTTCTGTTTTTTTTCTCTTTTTTTGGAATCATCCTAATATTTTTTAATCGATAATAATGCACACAAATCTTACAAACACAATTGCTTGAAGTCTTGAACTCAAGATTTTTAGTGAGAAAAAAACTCCCCTTAATCACTGAGATCACTCGATGAATTTTCTCCACTTTAATTTTAACCTTTCCTATTTTTTTTATAAATTTACCCCAAACATATACATTCCCCATTGAATCTTACCTCATTACATATGGGAATAGGATTTTGTTGTTGTTGTATATACATTCCCCATTGACATTAACCTTCAAGAAAGAAATCAAAGAATCTGGATTCTGGGTTGCCTTCACATTAGTTTACCTGGAATGTGCTAGTTTTAGCCTACTTTATTAGGCTTTAGTTGTATATATATATATATATATATATAAATCTTTAGGGATTAGAATTTGAATATATTTAGATAATCACAGTAAAATAAATATCATCTAAATTCACACTATTATATTTGAAAATTGGAATCCAACCTTTAATATATTCAAATTGTGCAGATTTGGAACATTCCCAAGTGAATTAAGGACATAAAGCCCAACCGAAGAAAGCAATGCGCCACACAAACCATGACTTGCCTTGATGATGTATTATTTTACAAGGGATTTACTTCTTTTGCACTAGGTTTCAGCCATGACTTTCAAACAACTTGTAACCCTAGCATATCTTTGTAAATATCTACAAGTAGCTCATTTTATGTTGAGTTAAAATAATCAAATGAATGATATTAAATAAAAAGTTATCAAAACATACCAAAACTCGAATTATACCTCAATCCTCTTTATATACAATAATGACAAGAGGTTTTCTTTTACTTGTTTGTCTCATAGGTGACAAGGGAGGGTGTTTTTATAGGTATAGAAGGGGGCAGACGACCGGAGATGTGCTTTTCCTAAGAAACGTCTTTCACTTTAAATGCTGACCGAACAATCATGACCAAAATTTAAAATATTTTAATTATTTAAAATAATCCAGGTTCAAAATTTAAAAGTTTTAGCTTTTAAAAAGTTAATGAAAAATAGAAGTAAGAAAAAGTATCAATTCAAAAATTAATAAAAAAATATTTAAAAAAAAAGAAATCAATTTTCTAGGGTGAGTAAAAATCTATTAATTTTTTTATTAATACGAGATAACTATAAGGTAATATTTATTCAATTATATAATTTTCAGTAATTGATATTGAACTCTTACACCACTAACATTATTAGTGTTTAAACTCGATACTTTAAATAAAAAACATCAATTCTTTTACACCGAGATTACTTATTTCTTACTACTAAAGTTATATAAATGATTATTAATATAATATAAAATGGTGATTGGACGGTTGATCATAACTATATAACACTTGAATTCTAATCACTGTATGATATAAAATCCCAGCCATTACTGCAGACGTTGGAATTTAAACCAATCAAACTCAGCCACGTACCCTACTTCTAGTACACGTAAGAGATCCCAAATCTTTATTACATCAGCAAAACACGTGGTCCTATGTGTTCTCCCCTCTACGACTCGGCGTTATTACGTTAAAAACCCAAAATAATTAATTATTTGAAAAATAATTCTCAAACAATATTTTTTTAGAAAATTATCCCAATCAGTTTTTTAGAAAATGAACCACAAATCTCACTCTTCACAAAAAAATAATTACGACCCTGCGTTTTACAAAACTAGAGTTTTATACATTTATATTTCTCTTAATCTATAAATTAATTAAAGTTATTTGAAAATTGAATGAATCTCACATTTTGCAAAACACAAAATCTTTAAAACGTGTTTTGTAAAACACGAGGTAATTAGACGTGGATGGTTTTATGATTATAAATAATATTTAGGAGTTATTTTTCTAAATAATTAATTATTGAGGGTATTTTACATAAGATTGCCCTCCGACTCTAACCTCTAATAACAAACAAACCAGACCACATTTCCCCGTTATTTAACGGCAGAAGCCCCAGTTGCCATCAACTCACTAACCCTGACTCTCAGTCTCAGCCTCTGCGTCAAGTGTAGTTCTCCGTCTATATAAATGCCACGCCCTCATTTTATCTTCGTCTCCTCGTGTCTACTAGTATTTTTTGTCTGAATTTTGTATTGTTTTCTATTTTTTTGTTTTTCTTTGCTGCCAAACATGGCTGGATTAGATAAATTATTTTTTTCTCTCATTTGGACAGCCTATTATTCTATTGTAACATGATGTTTCCCCATCTTTGAACCAACCCCTGCATGAAGAATGTTCTATTTGGTTCAAGCAGACCCATCATCATCCTCATAAAAGAATGAACCCCATGTGTTTCCACATGTTAGTTTTCTTTTGCAGGAATTAAAGAAAGAAGACAATGTTTACGTGCACAAAGCAGATGGGGGATGGAGGGGAAGAAGTAGAAGGAGGGAGTGGAAGCAGTAAAGAAGCCATCAAAAGCCTCACCAGTCACCACACAGGTTTCACTTCCTTTCATTCTTGTAAAGCTCACTCAGGCTTTGCTTCTGTTTTTTCTGTTGTCTTTTTCTACTTTAGGGTTCGTTTGGGAAAAACAAACAAAATCATAATCCCAAGTAGCCGATATCCTTAGCCTCGGGACCACCACCTTCTTTGTCATCTTTCCTTTCACGTTTATTCATGCATGTGTACACCCACTGTTTTAATTTAACGTGGTATCAGCTAAGTATAATGATAAAAAATATATTCAATATCTAATTAAATAATTATTTTGGTATTATTTTAAAAAATATTTTGATTTTTATACGTTTCATCTTAGAATAAAAGATTATTGTGAATGAAAATTGTTAATCAACAAATGATCAACGCTCTAAAATATGAATATTTTTATCTTAAAATAAAACGTTGAAGTCAAAATAATCTTAAAAATATTAATTAAATTAATTATTTGATTAAATATTAGACATATTCATATCCTGAAATACTCTAATAAAATAATATAAACTAAAATTATTATTTAGTCAAAATTAAAGACATTATTTTACAAATTATCTCTATCAGCCAATAATTAATAGAATAGTGCGAAAGCTGTATAAGCGCAATTAGCTGATATCCTCATCAGCCGCTCGGCCTCGTACAAAGATCCCACCTTTTTAAAGAACTTTCTTTTAGGGCTAGGTCTCTAGGAGCCTCGGTAATAGGCAGATGCAGACAAACTTCCCCTTCATATGGGTTTACATATTCTCTTGGTTTTAGTTTGGGGTTTAATGGACAAAATCACTTCCATGATTCCTGCCCAATAATTTCCTCCCTACTTCCACTTAGTAGCTTCTTTACAGGTCTCAAAATATAGATAATTCCAACCTTTTTAAAATTCTATGTCCAGCATGGATACCTTAATAAAGAGAGGGAACAAAATTCTTTTTATTGTGGAAACAATTGAAGGGATTGTTAGGGTGAAGGTACATAGGAAAGCTGTTAGAGGTGATGAGGTTAATCAAAACCTTTGTATAGCTTGGGGAGTACATCCATCCTCTTAGGAGGAGTTTTGGCTTTGTATTTGTTGTAGCAGCGTTTTCTCTGCTGCTTCTTGGATAATAAGAAAGAATTTACTTATCAAAAAAACAAAAATTGCTTTTTATTATCAGCAAATAGGAAACAATTAGTGGGATATCTTTAGAAAAGACAATTGGTGTATATTAAGAAAACACCCCCAGGTGCCCTGGGTCGGTCACTGTGATTGAAAGGTGGGCATATGGGCTGTCTTTTCTTAACATACACCATGTCATTGACTTTATATTAAATTTATTGTTCATTGTATTTCCGAATATTAAATCCATGTCATTGACATGATCTGGTGGAAGCCGAGATGAATACAGAGCCGTACCTTTTCTATTTTGTGCTTCTCATTAACTTGAATTCTGATAATATGCAGATGAAGGATATGGCTTTGAAATTTTCAGGAGCTTACAAGCAATGCAAGCCCTGCACAGGCTCCAGCAGCTTCAAGAAAGGGAGTCGACCGTATCCGGATTTTGATGCTGCTTCTGAAGGGGTTCCATACCCCTACATGGGTGGCAGCACTAGTTCTACACCTGCGTGGGACTTCACCAGTGCCAATCATCATCCAGGAAGATCAGACTCTAGATTCACCGGGGTATTCAGTGGTGATAGAACTCCTGGCTATAGGGAATCTTTCTCGGCCAAGGATATGGTGTTGGAAGATGAGGATGAGCCTAAGGAATGGATGGCACAAGTGGAACCCGGGGTTCATATAACTTTTGTATCCCTTCCTAATGGAGGAAATGATCTAATACGGATTCGGTTCAGGTATGCCATCGATCATTCATGCCGGCAACGATTTCAGTTTCCAATCACATTGTACTTTTGAGTTTCTGTTAGTGAAATTATACGGAAACTGACGTTACTCGGGCTTTGAATATTGAAGTCGGGAGATGTTCAACAAGTGGCAAGCGCAACAGTGGTGGGGTGAGAATTATGATAGAATCATGGAGCTTTATAATGTTCAGAGATTTAACCGTCAGGCATTACATACTCCCACGAGATCTGAAGATGAGGTAAACCAACTCATTCCGTTTTGCCTTATGTGAATCGTCGAAATATCTAAGTACATGGACATTGGTAGATGCAGAGGATGATACAAGTATGCCAAGTTGCAGTTACAGAAAGAAACTACACAATATGCCAAGTTGCAGTTACAGAAAGAAACTACACAATATGCCAAGTTGCAGTTACAGAAAGAAACTACACAATGCAGACGCAAAGGGATTCGTCTTATTCGAGGATGGGAGGAGAAAGATTTGGAGAAGTAAATGCGAAGCAGTGGTGGGAGGAGAACAGATTTAGGATACAAGCACATTGCTGCAAAGAATTAAAGGGATGGGATAGAAGCAGTGGAAGTAAATTTGTTTTGTATTTGGATGTTCCCTCTCAATTTTGGCAACAAAATACGTTCCATACGTAAGTAGTGTGTGTAGAAGTAAAGACGGGAACAATCTTTCGAGGCAAGTGGGCTTTTGTCACTTAGGCTTTTCACAAACACATTCAACTGATAAAATATCATTCGTCATTTCCAATTCATGGTGACAACTCGTTCGGGTTCTGTTTGACTGCTGTGCCGGGACTACCCACTTCTCTTTATTTTTGTTTGTCTGCCCATTTTCAGGAGGCTTTTTTTACCTCCTTTAGAGATTAAAATATTTGATTTCAACTGTTGTTTTTATACAAAATTTGATAATTAATGAAATCTTAATATAAAAATAAATATTCAAATCATACTTATTAGAACTGTTAAAAAATTATTAAATAACACGTCTCAGTCATATCTTTTAAATTCTTTTTTATCTTTGTAAAAAAGTACTCTTATAAAAAAAAACTTCATTCTAGAAAAACTTATATGTTTTTAAAATTATAAAAAAAAAACCCATCCCAAAATCCCTCATTCCAACCTATTACCGGCCTCTACCTGCCACTAACATTGCTGCCATCGCCGTCGAATAACCCACCTATCCTTCGCCACTTCCCCTCTCCGTTGCTGCATCATTTCCCTCTCCCAAAAACAGGAAAATAATCTAATAATTTTGGGCTTAAAATTAGGAATTTGAAATTTAAGTTTTAAGGATTTATAGATTTAAAAAAATTGAGACAACAATAAGGATGACCGGTAGTGAAAATTCGACGACGAGTGAATGACCATTCAAAAAAAAAAACGAAGACAAAGACATAGTAGTTAGAAAGAAAACTTTTAAGATTTTGATGTTTATTTTATAATTTTAAAATATTTTGATTTTTTCAAGATTAATAATACTATTAAAACTTTTTATAGAATAAAAAATTTCAAAGAAATAGGAGATCAACACATATTACTTATGGTTTAACAAACGTACTATAACACCTAAAAATATAACTTTTTTTAATGAAAAATTCTTTTAATCACTTGATATTAAGTCCAAACACAAAACAACATTTGGCAAGCTGCACTTTATTTATCAAACCAAAGGTCAAAGAGACACAAAACTATTCTCAACACATAAACTCAAGTACTAGGAAAACACTCAAACAGATGACATAAAAGCATAATTAATATTTAGAAATCATGACGCTAGGCCAATCTCAATTCTCAACATTACATGCTACTACTTTCCCTGCTGATTCAATTATCAAATGGGTCGGTATAAGAAACATGTCATTAGACTCCGCTGTCCACTGAATCCCAGCCTTTACAAGTAGAGTGCCTTAACTGTGGAACATAGGGCCGCCCTTTCCCAATTGTCACGTTTGACAACTTATCCGCTACATCAGCAGCTCCAATGGCACTCCGATCCTTGTTGATGGATGCAGCAGCAGCAGCAGCAGCAGCAACTGGACCAGAACTTATATTCATGCCAATGCCAAAATACAAAAGCAGACTGACACTAAAACATGCTTTTGAAAATTCTTTAAGTTCAATTACAATCATATTCAACAACCAAAATGTGTATCATTCGAGAAAGTGAACTATTTTATTGCCATCCAAAAGCACAACTATGAATCAAATTTAACCTTATATATAGGGTTCATTTTCCTTATTTACTAAGGGCGGTTAATACTCGGAGAGAAATACTCAACAAGTAGTCATGATAAAAAAACACACGACCAATCAATTATATATATACTTACATGGACTCTTTCTTCCGGGTGGCCAACACCTTGGTTGTTTGGCAGAGATCTTCGAGGACTTGTCATTCCAACTAAGATCCTTTAAGGTGGGAAAAGAAAGACCATATTTAGAAGCAATGCACACAAAAACACTACTAGAAAAGCAGAAAAACCGGGGCATATCAGATTACAATTACCTGATTATCCATATTCAGCTTGCTTTGCACACCTGCAAGAATCAACCATTACTAAAGAATCCAACTGTATAAAACCTTGATGAGTTACATTTTGTACAAAGTAACAGGAGCACAAGTTAAGGGTTAAACTATAGCTCACAATACTGATGATTTAATTGCTAATACCATCACCGAGGAGAAGACTCAAACTTAATGCAAAAGAGCAGTATGCTTATAGTTATACTACAAACTAAAAAAGAAAACATGATATATTCATCAAATGCATATTCATTCTATCCAACATCATTAATGAAACATTTAAGCATTGTTACACTCTCTAAATTCCATTACCTGTGCCCAAAGATACATTTGTCTTCACAGTTGAATAGTTGCCACTCAGTTTTGCATTAGGTAGAGTCCCAGAGAATCTCCTACCTGATTGCTGTTCCAATGTTCCTTTCCCCCCAACTAAGCATGCAAATTAAAAATAACAAATAAATTAAAGCCCGGTAAAAGGCTCTCCCAAAAAGAAAAAAAAGGGGAAAATTGGTAAAAGTTTCAAACAAACCTGTTGGAGGAGTTCTAGACACAGCTGCCCTGGTACGGAGAGAGGGCGGAACATAATAACAACTCTGCAAATCAAAGGGAAATTATGTTAGGAAAGCCCTACCTACAACATGATTGTCATTCTGACTCCCTAAAAGAACATCCCAGAACAATATTTAAGAACACTAAAATAAACTATAAAAGACAACCTGAAAGAATGGATGTTGAAGGGCCTCGGCAGCCATTGGCCTTTTGGAAGGATCCCATGAACAGAGAGACTAAAAACGAGCAAAGCAAATGTCAATTTCTCTTGAAACAATCCCATCACGAGGACTAAAAAAAGGCAACAGAGAGCAGATATGCACTTAACTGTAATAAGGTTAATAGCATCATCACTAGCTGATGGTATCAACATGGACAGATGTGCACCAGGGAACTTTAATGTTCAATGACAGATTTTAAAAAAATTATATTAGATTCCAGTCACTCATATGATAATCCACACTAACTGTGCATTGGTAGAGAAAACTTTGAATTATGCTATGACATGACTCGGAGAGTAAGACCTGTGGGAACTGGTAGTTTATGGCTCTTGCAAGGTTAAGCCCGTCAGGCCACGAAACCCTAGTTGGAGTACCTATTACACTACAAATTTTGTAGATTTCATCTGCTTCACTGCATGAATAATGAAAGGTTAGCATCAGCCAGTGAACAACAAGGTGAATACCTGTAGCTGTCAAACAAATAAGAAAGATAAATAGATATAACCTATTGTCTATATCTAAGCTATGCATAATCTCAAGGAGGTTCACAGCACAAAATAATAAATTAAAAGAACATACCTAGCACCAGGAAAAAGGGGGCGTAAGGTGAACAATTCAGCCATTATTGCACCCATTGCCCACATATCTGTAAGCAAAGAGGGGAAAAAAACATAATCAGGACTGCCAGCATTTCAATTCTTAAGGGAATCAGTACCGACTACAATGAAAACTTACCAACTTTTGAAGAATATAGGTATGACTGAAGAAGTATTTCAGGGGCACGATACCTAAACAAGTCGAGGCTTAGACAGTCATAATAAATATAAAAAGGAACAGAAAAGGTGGAAGGCCAACTAAATCCTCAAAGTATCAAATTACCAGCGTGTTGACACATATTCTGTGTATGGAGGTTGTGAACTGATTTCCCGCGCAAGACCAAAATCAGCAATTTTTATTGTATCTCTAGTAACCAACAGATTCTCTGCAAAGAGAAGGGAGGTTAGTTACAAAATATTTCTTTGGGAAAATATCATATAAATAAACATGAATTTGTAGGCAAAAAATTCATTCGGTACCTGGCTTTAGGTCACGATGAAAATATCCACACTGGTGCATGTATGCAAGACCTTGAAAGACTTGGAAACACCAATTTCTGATTTCAACTTCTGAAAAAAGCTTTTCTCTGTCTTTCATGAGTTGGTAAAGACTGAATTCCTGGAATATTAGCATGTTATGAGAAAGGTAATCAAAGCCCCAAATATCATAGAGCTAATTATAAGTACAACACAAATACATGCTGTAACTTACCATATATTCAAACACAAAGTACAGAATGTTATTTTCCCTGATAACTTCCTTAAGCTTCACAATATTGGGATGATTCATCCTCCTCAGTGACTGTTCAAATGAGACAGACTATCATGCATATGAAAAAAAAAGCAAAATCAGAAGAAAGTGCCTCGTACTACCTTAACTTCTCTCAGATTCACACACTCATTCCATGTGTAATATTTCTTCTTCATTTTCTTAATTGCAACCTTCAAAACAGATAATATATATTCAAAAATATTGTATCAGAATTAACACATTAAAAGACATGCTTTCACAATTTCAAATAAATAAAATTGTCGGATATTTCTTCTTCATTTTCTTAATTGCAACCTTCAAAACAGATAATATATATTCAAAAATATTGAAGCAGAACCGGCACATTAAAAGACATGCTTTTACAATTTCAAATAAATAAAATTGTGGGCATACTCACAACTTCACCAGACAGTTTATTAATAGCTCGCCATACACTGCCAAACGTCCCGTCACCAACTTCCTTAATTATCTTGTACCTAATACATGCGAAAATTGATAAGAAAAACTAGCAGAAATGATTACCCTCTAGACATCCCCCAGATAAAACAACATACCTCTCCATTTTCTTGCAGAAGAAAAAGTAGCCCTTTCTTTATTCAACAGTTGTGTAAGAAACAACGGTAGTCCTATGACATATATCTTCAGTAGAAGATTGATTGTATTAGAAACAATAAAACATAAACAAACTGCGTTGCTGGTCACCTCAGTTCACCATTAATTTCCTCAGGCAACATGCAAAAGCATAAAATCAGAAACAATATGGTTGATGGGCTTCAGAGCTTTATTCATTACTATACCCACAGCTTCAAGCAGAGAACAAGGCATCGTCATAAGGAACAGATGAGCTCCACAAAACATACTGACAGGAAGCAACCAGAATGAATGATTTGATCTATCAAACAGGAAAGATCCCAAGATTAAATCCTCTCACTTGGTTTAAAAACTTTAATTGAAGTCAACTCATATCGGCTAAATAGAAACTGGTGCAGAGTGCTCGATACACCAATATCTCATCACTTATAAGTTCCCATCAAGAGCAACAACAGAAAAATAATTGAAAACTAGAGCTGCTAATGCTTAGCCTGCAACTTTCAACTGTCTAACAAGAGTGTTCAGACCTGTGAAAATAGAATAATGGCAAGGAAAATACATTAGAGGATAGAAAAGGCACAAATAGTTGACAAGTATAACAAAACACAATTATGCAAAGATAAAGGCACTTGAAAGGCATAGGCATTTTCCAAAAGTCTTCAACTGGATGTTGTGTCATCAATTCACTACAAATAAAATATTCAGATCCTACCTATATGATTTTTAATCAAACAGAGAAGATAGAACTGCTTACTTGAAGAAGTTTGCGAAAGATCCAACACCTATCTCAGAAGAAACTAGCATGACTCCTGTGTTGAGTGATGAAACGAGACTGGGGACTAAGTGCAGTTGACAAAGGAAACCAAAAGGAAATCTCCATGAAAAAGAAACCGCCGATCTAGTACTTCTTGGAATGAAAACACTCGGAGAAGGTAACAATTTGACCAGAAGCACACTTTTTCCATGTCTTGAAAAGGAAAGTGAATCTCTTTAAATCCAAGTCAGGTGCAATCTAACCTTAAAACAACATCAATTGAAACTTGCAGTTTAGATATATCTGACCAGGGCGCATAAACCAATATGATACACTATTTCTACTACAAAATGAGGATATAGTACCATAACTGATGAACAATACTTAAACTAAACTTATCGCTGCTAGTAAATAAAGGGATGAAAAAATAGTATCGCTCAGAAAAGGGTACATGCTAATTCAAGAATATAATATGCATATTGCAACTATGTGCAAAAAAAGTGGAATAATTTTCATTTTATGAAGCGATTTTTTTAAAAAAGGTCCGAGACTAGAGTGTCTAGAGCAACATTCAATCAACATTCTCACTTAGCTGCGACCTCAAAAGATCACAATAAATCAATGCTCAATTCTAGATACCAACGATGGCTCAAGGTTTGTTGGTGGTGATGATGTTGATGATGATTTATGAAAAAAATCAAACATGCTGGAAACCCCGTGGAACAATCATCATGAAACAGCAATATCAACGGATTAATTTAGGAAGAGAGCAACAAATCCTAATATATTTTCTAACAAAATCAAACACGCAAACCCTTACCGGTAAAATCACCTTAAGCAATGGGAATCCGTAATTATAACATGCGGAAAAACAAAGTATAGAATATAGATACGCAAAAATCGAAGAATATATCCAATTGAGAAGAACCCTAATCTGCCCTGAACACGAAAGAAAAAAGAAGGAAAAGATGAAATCGTATCAGATCTAGGTAAAAAGAGAAACCTGAAGATGAAGCGGTATAAACACCGTCGCCAAGGACGGGAGGAGGTTGAATCCAGAGCGTCGCTATTTCTCTCTAGCAAAAGTAGAATTTTGTGTGCGTTTGGAATTATAATGCGAAACACGGTATGGCCTTTGCTTTATATACTGTTATTGGTTGAGGCGGCAGTTCACATTGTGTGTGAACCAAGAAAAGGCGTAATTCTGATTCGATTCTATTTTTAGGTCAGTCGGAATCAAATTTATTGTTAAATAAGATCTTGTTTAATCATTCTCTATTTTTTATATTTTTAATTAATTTCTTATATTTAAATAAAATTGATAAATTTAGAAATAAATATTATATCATTTTTACTTATCTTTGATTTTTAATAAAAATAAATATTTTTATTTCAAAAAGAAAACCATCTCTAAATTTTGAATCAAATTCTATTTGAAAAAAACCATTAAATATTCCATCAAAACAAACGTAACTAAAAACTATATTTATCATAATATTTTCATTTTTTATTTATTTTTCAATTATTTTCTTATTAAGTACCGAGTCATCTTGAACATTTTTAAGACCCTTAATGAAAGTAAAAAAAGAAGTCCTCATAGACCGAAAGTATCTTTTATTACTTTGAATAATTAATTTAATATTACATTAATAAATCTTAGAAGGATGATTAGATTAGGGTCATAAATTATAAAAGTAAAAAGTGAGATTGAAAAAATTTGGGGCCTCGATTATAATAGTAAAAAGTTAGCTTAAAAAATTAGGAATTTCAACTATAAAGGTAGAAAGTAAGATTAAAAAAATTAGTGACCTCAATTATAAAGGTAAAAAGTATGATTGAAAAAATTATGAGCCTCAAATATCGATTATAAATGTAAAATATGATATTTAAAAATTAGGGCATCAATTATAAATGTAAAATATGAGATTTAAAAATTAAGGCCCTTTAATATCGATTATAAATATAAAAGGTGAGATTTAAAAATTAGAAACCCTAAACCCTTAATTATAAAAGTAAAATATGAGATTACAACAATCATGAACTTCAATTATAAAGAGAAAAAAATTAAAAAAAAATCAAATACTTCAATTATAAAAATAAATTTATTTGATCGAAAATTTTGGAGTACTATAAAAGATAGGGTCTATTCCCATATGTGATGGTGTAAGGGGAGGTAGGATAGTAGGTTGCCCCAACGCCAGGTTGAGAGCAGCTTCCGTGAGAGACCTCTGACAATCAGAATTATGAATTGCCCACCATGGGACTCGATCCCAATACCACAAGGTTAAGAGTCTTGCGCTCTACCAACTGAGCTGGACGGGCAATTCAAAATTTGCTAACCCTATTCCCATATATAATGGGGTAAGGGAGAGGTAGGATAGTAGGCTGCCCCCAACGCCAGGTTGAGAGCAGCTTCCGTGGGAGACCTCCGACAGTCAGAAATTATGAATTACCCCCCATGGGACTCGATCCCACGACCACAATGTTAAGAGCCTTGCGTTGTACCAACTGAGCTGGACGAGCAATTCTAAAATTAGCTGACCCTATTCTCATATGTAATGGAGTAAGTGAGAGGTAGGATAGTAGGCTACCCCAACGTCAAGTTGATAGCAGCTTTCGTGGGAGACCTCCGGCAGTCATAATTATGAATTACCCACCGTGGGACACGATCCCACGACCACAAGGTTAAGAGCCTTGCGCTCTTACCAACTGAGATTCAATTTTATATAAGATTAGATAATATATACATGAATCAAGTGGTCTCGCTGATCAAGAGATTTATTATTATATTTTAAAGTCTTGGGTTTAAGTATCGTGCATGAAAAAAATATAAGTAAACATTATTAAAGGGTAGGGAGTTTTAAACAAATATTATTTTATATTTATTTCAAATTTATTAAAAAGTTAAAATAATATAAATATTTTTAATGGCTCTATCCATTAATAAATCTCATAAATTAAAGCCACATGTCCAACTAAGTATTCTAGGTGACCTCTCGCATTACTCGTCAATACGTCATTTACTAACTTACCTGCTGGGGCGGCACCATAAAAAATGGAACATTTTGGGTTAGTCCCTTTAAAATTTCTGAAACTATTTTTTCTATCCGCTTTTCCTGAACGTTAAAGGTGCGTTTGGTTTACGGAATGTAAGATTATTAGTGGGAATATAAGATTATCAGAGAATAGAGTTAATGAGAATGTAAGATTATCAGAGAATAGGGTTAATGAGAATGTAAGATTACCAGATAATATGTTTACTGGGAATATTATATTTTGTGTTTGGTTGATTTAGCAGGAATGTAAGATTATCGTGTTTGGTTAAAGAAATAAAAGATTATTGGAATGTATATTTGACCAAATTATCCTTATTATATATATTTTTTTAACAAGTTAAAAAATATTTATATATTTTCTTCAAAAAAAAATTAAATTCATAAAATTTATATATATATATATATTTTTTAAATTGAAAAATATAAAAAGGTTTAATGAAAGGGTAAAATTTTATTTTAACCCTTGAACTTCATATAAAATTTTAATTATAAACTTTTTTGTAAATCTAAAATAGTTTAAAGATAAATTTGTAATTTAACATTCGTATAATTTTTATTATTCAATAACAGAAAAATAATATTTTTGAAGAAAAAAATTTAAGGACATTTTAATCCAAAACGCCGGTAATCCAACAATACTTAAGGAAAGAGAGGTAATGATATTACCAATAATATACCCCAAAAATCTACTATTGTGTAACACCCATAACCCGTATAATTATATTTATACAGATTATAGATGTTACCCGAATTTTAAAATTCATTTCCAATATCAAAAGTGATTTAAAATTTATTTCCTTAAAATGGTAAATGATATTATAAAAAGATCATATCATAAAAATTAAGTTTCATTATAACCAAATTTAATTCAAAAGATTTTTATTTTTTTTCTGAACAGTACCCATGAACAGTAAGAACAGTAACAGTGAACATTACTCGTGAACAGTGGGTGTATTGGTACCCTGTAGGGGGTATCGGTACCCCAAATGCATTCTGGAAATTTTGCTTAAAATGTGGTTACTGTTCATGCTACAGTAACCACTACAGTAACTTTCGAAAATACATATAAATTCAATAAAATTCCATTTTGTTTCCAAATTTGTCTAACAAAACAAATAGAACATTTATAATTACATGCTACTAATAAAATTAACATTACAACTTAGGATGTCTTACTGATATTGAAATATACTCCTTTATGCTTGATGTCATTCCGAACTCTTTATTCTACTACTGGCTTTTTACCTACGCGTGAAAATCATCACACGCTAAGTATAAACTTAGTAAGACAATTAAAACAATAAACAATGCAATACAATTCATGCATGAATTTAGATTTCAAAATCAATGCAATAAAACCATGCTAATAGCATATTCAATTTTTTACCATTATCAAAATAATATAAAATTTCTTACCATTTATCTCATAAGCTCGTAAGTTTAATTTACCAAAATACTTACCATTTTTCTATAAGCTCGTAAGCTTATTTTTACTAATACACTTGCCATTATTCCGTAACTATATACCATAGACAATAACCCAATATACAACCTTGAGGACCCTGGGTACACGAGTCAAATATAAGCACCGTAGTGCTATCCCGAGTATAACACATAAGGTTGTGTCCATCTTCTGTACTAAGTATCCTTAAGTACAGTCCCGAATATGACACATAAGGTCGTGCCCACCATATACACTAGGTATCCTTTAGTGTATTCCCGAATATGCAGCCTGCTGCTGGACTCTATGGCATGCCAACTATACCATGTCCCTCAATAACTGACTTGGGCATACAGTCTATTTTATTTGATCCATCCATGGTAAAGTATATTATCAATATTTAACAATGGGCAGTTCATACCCAAAATAATATTCATGATAAAATATCACATTTTCCAAAATTAATGCATTATAATTTCATACTCTGACATATCAATGTCAATTTATAAAAAATGATATAAAATCATGCTGATATAAACAAGGTCGACTTATCGCAAGTCTTCCTTATGATGTATAAAGCATCCATATATAATTTCATGCATGTATTGCACTCACCTTGACACTTTATGTCTTTCAAAAAAATATGAGCCTCACTATTGTCCACCATAAGCCCTTTTTATATTCAATTTGCTTCGATTATAATTTAATCACAATCTGTATAAATCACCATTCATAATGATTTCATATGTTAGTATTGTACTAACATAAACACATTCCAAAATAACTCCAAAATATACTTAATAATTCCTTTTAACATTGGAACTAAGTTTTCCAATTTACACAAAATGGTCCTTCACCATTTTACCACTTAAATTCTTAATACCAATAATTCAAGCATTGAAATTATTTCCATTCAAATGCTTTTATAAAAGTATAATTATATTTAATTACCCCAACTATGCAATTGTTATACTTAAATCACTAATCTTTCAAACTTCTAAAATAGTCATATTTCACATTCTAACACTCATTTCAATTCCAAAACAACATTTTCCAGCATAGTACATCACTTATATATCACTTACACAATAACCCATCAATTTTTCAGAATTTATGAATTGATCCCCAACTTTTTAAAACTTACAAAATGATCCCCAATTTTTCTAAGGCTTGTAAAATACTTCCTTCATCATTTCTAACCCATATATATTTTTCTATAATTTTTCTCACTGAAACCATTCATGGCTGAAATTTAAAGAACAAGTTATAGAAAGATTAAACATGTTCTAATCATCTTTCATGCTAGAATATGAATCAACTACCTCACAAACATCAAGATCCATCATTAATTTCATGATCCCTTATATGAACACAAACCCTTAGATTTGGTATCTTTGAACACCAACAAGATTATCATACAATATTGGTACCAAAATATAGCGTTTTTCGCATATAACAATTTTGTTTTTACAACTTACTCAAAATCCTAAGTAAATTGCTTGAAAATTGAGTTTCTCTTACCTTTGAAGAACACCCACGGCATGGAGAAGAAGATGAGCTGAAAATGCTCCCCCATCATAATACTGTAATATTAAATAAAGCTAGCACATGTCTTAATATAGTATAATAGAATTATTTTATTCAATTCAATAGGAAATTTCATTTTTGCTATTAATGAATCTCCATA